GGGCCGCGGGAGCGCGGGGGCCGGGCCAGGTGGGCCCGGGCGGGGAGCGGAGGGCGCCGAGGCGCGCGTGTGCCGGGGTGGACGGGCGCGCCCTCGCACGACGCCGGTCCGGCAGGGGCCGAGTGGGAAGGGGCCGGGTGGGGGTGGGGGTGGGGGTGCCGAGGCCATCCGCGCTCGCTCCCTCCCTCGCGGCCTAGCTGGAGCCTGGGGAGAGTGCCGGGCCCTGCCTGACCCCTTCCCTGGGGGCGCCTGGGCCTGGGGACGGCTGGGGTGGCCCAGGCGGTCTGGTTTCCTGCGTGGAGCGTAGGGAGAGCGGGAGGCCCGCGTCCCCTCGCGCCCGGAGTCCCGAACTGGGGCGGGTGGAGGGGACGCCAGGCCTGGGCGGTCGCTGACTCCTTGGGTGCAGTAATCCCTTTCGGTCCTGCGGGGCACACCCCGAAAACTACGACTCGCCAACTTCCAGTCTGTGAGTCCCATCGGGCCGACCCCCGTCCCCCTCCCGCGCCCCCGCCTCCATATGCCTAACGCTTCCACCTGCTTCCTGCGGTGAGCCTCCCGCACACGTCCGCACGGAGCCCGGGGTCACCTCCTGTGCATTAGCCCCAGAGCCTTTCCTCCTTCCCGTCGCTTAGAAAACCCACCTCCTGCCCAGGTGGGAAGGACCCACGCTCTGAAAGCTCCTAGAGCCCTCAGGGCCCTGGAGGATTTGTGGGCCTTGTGTCAGAGGTCAGAGGTCAGCAGCGGAGGTGCAGATCCCTGCTGAGTCATGGGCTTGGGTGGGATGGGGCCCCTCCCTCCCTTAGGGCAGGCCTGCGGAGGAGGACGACGGGTTCCCCAGAGGGGGCTGGAGAGCGGCCTCTGCCCGGTCCACAGTTCAGGGGTGCGCAAAGTGAAAGGACTAAGGTCATTGGATTATGGATGTATTACGGCGTGAGGCCATGCAGTGGTCACTCAGGATGGGCACCCCCTTCCTGGTGGGCCCTGGCGGATGAGCTGGCTCCTTGTTCATCATGGGATTTCCACCCCCACCCCCCACCCCCATCGCAGGCAGCCTGGACAGGTTGTGTTGAATCCCCTTCTGAGTAAAGTGCAGGGGGCGGCATCCCTTCTGTGGTTCCCCACCTTGGGAAGTGCTCCCTCTCAAATGTAGTGAGCAGGAAAGTGCCCCCAAAGCCCTGCTTGGCCCAACACTGACCCCATACAGCCAGGTCCACAGTGTCTGCCCAGAACCACCCTCTGTCAGATACTGTGTAAGACACGCACCCCGGCCCCCAGCCCCGGGGTCAGGCACAGTGGGAGGCCCCACTACAGACAGGCCTGCACCTTGTTCCTTAACGTGGTCCTGCTATGAGGACAGCATGGGGATCCTGTATGTAACCACACCAGAGGGTGGTGCCCCCATGAGGGAGCGTCCGAAGAACTTTTCCTTAATACACCAGGTAGCATCTGCTGGATGTGGATGGGATGGCACACAGAAGTACCCCCTCCCACCTTTGGGTTAGCTTGTCCCCCACCCCAGGAGGTGGACAGGCCCCCCTACCTAACCTTCACATCATGCTCAGCCTGTCACCAAAGGGGGACAGGAAAGTTTCCTCAGGTCACCGCACACAACAGTCTTGGTCCCAATGTTCCCTGGCTGCCCAGTGACCCCATCCAGTCGGCGTCACCCGCCGCTCCTGCTGAGCAGGGCACACTGGGGAGTCTTGCAGGACCGGCGTCCAGGAACCCGTGAGCCGGGCGGGATCTGAAATCCAGCTCAGTCCCAGCCCCAAGTTGCAGCCCCGGTGGGGTGGGCAGTGCGTGGGGCTCTCCTTCCAGGGTATCCGGGCAGTTCTGCGATTGTGGATCCAAAAGCGGCCCCCACGTGGCCTTCCGGAGCTAATGGTAGCTCCTCCCAGCCTAGGTCCCCTCGGGCCCTCGGGGAACAGGTGGACTGGAGCGGGCCACGCCTGGCTTGGGTGTCAGTGTGAGGTTGGGGCAAGTGGTGAGGACGGGGAGGCACATTTGGAGCCCAGGATGAGCCTGACGGCCACAGCAAAAGGCTCTGATTTCATCTGGAACACAGTGAGAAGCAGAGCATGACCGGGGACTTGGGAAGACCACCGCTGCCCACATCTGCTGGGGGTTGGGGGGGGGGTGGCGCTTGGGAGATTTTATCTGGAAATAAATAGTGGCTAAAAACAGTGGAGGGGTGGGCCAGAGGGAAGCAAGTGGTCCCGGTGGGCAGGGGTCAGAGTTGGAAGGGCTGTGAAGTCCGTGAATGGGCTGTGGGGCTCACGGTGACCCATAGGATGGGGTCCCCCATAGGAAGTTCTTGAGCTTCACGCCGAGTCCTGGGACAAAAGTAGTGACGAGTTTGTGTGCTGAGCTCATGTTGGGCCAGGTGTGGTATCAGGTCGACCCTGACAGCTGCATTTTCCAGTGGAGATAATGAGCCAGAGAGGCAGTGAGTGGCCCTGGGTCCCCTCTCAGCCCCCTGCACTGCAGACAGACACAGGCGGGGGGCCACCCGACTGGTCGGTACACACAATGCCAGAGGCCCACGAAAATACATTAATGCCAAAGGCAGAAGGAAAAAGTGACTATAATAAAGAATCCAGTCTGGATCGTGTTTTCCTTGTAACAACAATCATAAAATACTGATTTTCTCCTATGGAGGAAGGGCCCACAAAGAGGTGCCTGGGTCACAGAGTTCCTAAAATAACCCCGAGCGGGGTCTGCGTGCAGCCGGAACCCCTGCGGGGAAACCAGGCTGCAAGCACTCCTGAGGTCCTGGCCGGAGCAAGGGCCCAGCCAGCACGGAACAACATGAGACAGGGCCGGGGGCGGGCCTGTGCCTGGGCGCTCTGCTGGCCTGCCCCAGCTGGGGGGCAGTCTGGGTCCAGGCGTGTCTGGAAGGCCTGCAGGTATGGCCTGCACTCCACCAGCCCTTTTCTACAAAGGGTGTGTCTGCTGGGGGGGGGGGGGGCGGGCACGGAGCCCCTGCCCCAGTAACGTGTCTCCCCGCCCCTCCCAGGCCGCTGGCCCCGACATGGCCCGTCGCTCCCAGAGCTCCTCGCAGGGGGACAACCCGCTGGCACCTGGGTACCTGCCGCCTCACTACAAAGAGTACTACCGCCTGGCGGTGGACGCCCTGGCTGAGGGCGGGCCAGAGGCCTACAGCCGCTTCCTGGCGTCCGAGGGGGCACCTGCCTTCCTGTGCCCTGAGGAGCTGGAGCATGTGAGCCGTCACCTGCGGCCCCCACAGCATGTTGCTCGAGAGCCCCCTGAAGGCAGTCCTCCCAATGTGGACATGGATGGCTCCTCAGGCACCTACTGGCCCATGAACTCAGACCAGGCAGTGCCCGAACTCGACCTAGGCTGGCCCCTGACCTTCGGCTTCCAGGGCACTGAGGTTACCACCCTGGTGCAGCCACCACCGCCTGACAGCCCCAGCATCAAGGATGAGGCTCGAAGGATGATCCGCTCAGCCCAGCAGGTGCGCTGTCGTGGGCTGGGTGGACCGTGGGGGAAGGGCAGCCCGAGCTGGACCCTGAAGCATGAGTCGGAGTGTGCAGGTGCAAGAAATATGAGCATGCCCAGCTTCGGGGGCAAGGGTGAGGCCAGGGTAGCTGGCCACGCCTTTCCAGCCTTCAAGCACCAGCGAGGGCTCCCTGGCTGACAACTTTTGGGGTCACCAAGGGTCTGGTTATTGCAGGCTGCATGCTGCACAGGCTTGCTTGCCAGTGGTCCTGGCCAGTGTCCAGAAACTCAGGGGCTCTGGGATGGCTGCGCACGTCTCCTGGTTGGATTTATGGTTCAGAAAAGTCTCTCTAGTTTTAACTTTGACCCAGCTGAGGGCTTCTTACCCCCACCAAACAGGTGGCAAACAGCAAAGGAAGCCTGGTAAATCTTGGAGGTGGGGGCCACAGGTCCTGCAGCTAAAGACCCCAACTGCCCTCTGCACCCCGGGCAGCACTAGAGCCTGGGCTCCGCCATCTATGGGGTGGGGTGGCGGGGGCTGTCGCAGGGCTTTCGTTTGCCTTTGCCCCTTCCCAGAAGGAGGTGGGCCCTCTGTGCCTGCCTAGAAGGCCCTGTCCGGCCATGATGGGCCACCCACCTGCCAGCAGCCCCACAGCCCCCCGTGATAGGCCTTTTCCTCCTGAGCCCTGTTCCCCGACAGGGTCCCTGCTCTCCTCTGGGACGGGCTAGAGGACAATTTGCAGTGTTTGTGGGAGATCCAGAGGCCCCCGTGCGGGCCATGCAGGTATGGCCAGAGAATGGTGGGGACAGCAGAGGGGTCTGTCCTCTGTCCCTAACTCGACCCCTGCAGGTGGTGGCCGTGGTGATGGACATGTTCACTGACGTGGACCTGCTTGGGGAGGTGCTGGAGGCAGCGGCACGCCGCGTCCCGGTCTACATCCTCCTGGATGAGATGAACGCGCAGCACTTCCTAGACATGGCCGACAAGTGCCGTGTCAACCTGCACCACGTGGATGTGAGTGACAGAGAGGGGGCGGGGAGGGAGGTGGGAGACTCCCGCGCACAGACCTGACGCCTCTCGCTCCCCAGTTCTTGCGTGTGCGCACTGTGGCGGGCCCCACCTACTACTGCCGCACTGGGAAGTCCTTCAAGGGCCACGTGAAGGAGAAGTTCCTGCTGGTGGACTGCGCCGTGGTCATGAGTGGGAGCTACAGGTGCGCCCGGCCCCGCGGCCCCAGCACCTCCCCACCTAAGGGCCTCCCCTGCAGAAGCCCCGGTCCCACAGCCCCTGACGCGCCTCCGCCCCGGGGTTCTGGTAGGCTTCAGGCTTCCGGGGCGGGCCGCAGGTGGGGGCTCTGCGGCCCTCGCGGCTGCTTGGCCCCGCCCCTGACCCGCTCCGCCCCGCCCCGCCCGCAGCTTTATGTGGTCCTTCGAGAAGATCCACCGAAGCCTGGCGCACGTGTTCCAAGGCGAGCTGGTCTCCAGCTTCGATGAGGAGTTCCGCATCCTCTTCGCGCAGTCCGAGCCGCTGGTGCCCTCGGCCGGGGCGCTGGCCCGCATGGACGCTTACGCCCTGGCTCCGTACGCGGGGGCTGGGCCCCTTATGGGCGGCCAGGTGACCGGGGCGCCGACCCCTTTCTCCTTCTCTAAGCGAGCGCACCTCCTGTTTCCACCGCCCCGGGAAGAGGGCCTGGGCTTCCCCTCCTTCCTCGACCCCGACCGCCACTTCTTGTCCGCCTTCCGCCGGGAGGAGCCCACGCGGATGCCCGCGGGAGCCCTGGAGCCGCACGCGGGGCTGCGGCCGCTGTCGCGGCGGCTGGACGCCGAGGCGGGACCGGGCGGGGAGCTCGCGGGCCCGCGGGGCTTCTTCCAGGCCCGGCATCTGGAGATGGACGCCTTCAAGCGGCACAGCTACGCGGCCGCCGACGGCGGGGGCGCGGTGGAGAACTTCGCGGCCGCGCGGCAGGTGTCGCGGCAGACGTTCCTCAGCCACGGTGACGACTTCCGCTTCCAGACCAGTCACTTCCACCGCGACCAGCTCTACCAGCAGCATTACCAGTGGGACCCGCAGCTGGCGCCGGCGCGCCCTCAGGGCCTGTTCGAGAAGCTGCGCGCCGGCCGCCCCGGCTTCGGCGACCACGACGACCTCGCGCTGGGGGGCGGGCCACGCTTCCCCGAGCTCGGCCCGGACGGACACCAGCGGCTGGACTACGTGCCGTCCAGCGCGTCGCGCGAGGTGCGCCACGGCTCGGACCCCGCCTTGGGCCCCGGGCCCCGCGGCCTGGAACCCGGCAGGGCCCCGCGCCCCAACCTTGGCCAGCGCTTCCCGTGCCAGGCGGTGGCGAGGCTGGGCCCGGAGGCCGCGCCCGACGCGGAGCCCGAGCGCAGGGGCGGCCCTGAGGGGCGGGCCGGGCTGCGGCACTGGCGCTTGGCCTCCTACCTGAGCGGCTGCCATGGCGAGGACGCTGCCGACGAGGGCCTGCCGGTACCCATGGAGGCCGAGGCCTACGAAGACGATGTTCTGGTGCCCGGGGGACGAGTGGTCCCCGGGGACCTGCTCCCCTCGGCCTCCCGCGGGCCCGCACTCTTCCCGGCCAAGGGCGGCGGCGACGGCCTGGAGCGCGAGGGCCCGGAGGAGGCGGGCCTGGCCAAGCAGGACTCCTTCCGCTCGCGCCTGAACCCGCTGGTGCAGCGCAGCTCGCGCCTGCGCTCCTCGCTGATCTTCAGCGCTTCGCAGGCCGAGGGCGCGGGTGGGGCCACGACGGCCACCGCCGAGAAGGTGCAGCTGCTGCACAAGGAGCAGACGGTCAGCGAGACGCTGGGCCCCGGCGGCGAGGCCGTGCGCTCCGCCACCTCCGCCAAGGTGGCTGAGCTCCTGGAGAAATACAAGGGCCCGGCGCGTGACGCCGGAGGGGCGGGGGCTCCGGTCACAGTCGCCAGCCACAGCAAGGCTGTCGTGTCCCAGGCGTGGCGGGAGGAGGTGGTGGCGCCGGGTGGCGCAGGAAGCGAGCGCAGCAGCCTGGAGAGCTGCCTGCTGGACCTGCGCGACTCCTTCGCACAGCGGCTGCATCAGGAGGCCGAGAGGCAGCCCGGAGCGGCCACGCTCACTGCCACCCAGCTGCTAGACACGCTGGGCCGGAGCGGCACCGACCGGCTGCCCTCTCGCTACCTTTCTGCCCAGGGCCGTTCCTCCTCCCCACAAGGGCGGGACAGCCCCCCGCTGGAGGGAGGCGCCCGCCAGGCGCCCCACGCTGAGCCGAAAGGGAGCCCCACCTCTGCCTACCCTGAGCCGAAAGGGAGCCCCACCTCGGCCTATCCCGAGCGCAGGGGCAGCCCCGTGCCTCCTGTGCCAGAGCGCAGGGGCAGCCCCGTGCCCCCCTTGCCGGAGCGCAGGGGCAGCCCCGTGCCCCCCGTGCCCCCCGTGCCGGAGCGCAGAGGCAGCCTCACCCTTACCTTCCCCGGGGAGTCTCCCAAGACTGGGACCGCGGAGGAGCCGGCCGGCGGCCCCATGGAAGTCCTGCGCAAGGGCTCCCTGCGCCTCCGCCAGCTGCTGAGCCCCAAGGGTGAGCGGCGTACGGAAGATGAGGGCGGCTTCCCAGCGCCACAGGAGAACGGGCAGCCAGAGAGCCCCCGGCGGCCGTCGCTGGGCAGGGGTGATAGCGCTGAGGCTGCCGCCGGTGACGAGCGGAGCCCGCGGGCGCGCATGACCTCCGCCACGGCCAATGCCTTGTACAGCAGCAACCTGCGGGATGACACGAAAGCCATTCTGGAGCAGATCAGCGCCCACGGCCAGAAGCACCGCGGGGCCCCGGCCCCGGGCCTGACTCACAGCAGTCCCGAACTAGGCCGCTCACCAGCTGCCGGCGGCCTGGCCCCGGACATGTCCGACAAGGACAAATGTTCTGCCATCTTCCGCTCGGACAGCCCGGGGACACAGGGCAGGCTGAGCCGCACGATGCCCGCCAGCGCGGAGGAGCGCGACCGGCTGCTGCGTCGCATGGAGAGCATGCGCAAAGAGAAACGCGTCTACAGCCGATTCGAGGTCTTCTGCAAGAAGGAAGAGGCCGGGGGCACGGGGGCAGGGGAGGCCCCTGCAGAGGAGGACACCAGGGACAGCAAGGTGGGCAAGTTCATGCCCAAGATCCTGGGCACCTTCAAAAGCAAGAAGTGAGTCTTCTGGCCCAGCAGTAGCCCAGGTCCAGGTGCCTGCGTCACTGCCACCCACCAGGCAGAGCACCTGCTCTCACGGGGGGGGGGGGGGGGGGGGCGGGGGGGGGGGGGGGCAGGGCCGCCCGCGGAGCACAGCCTGAGCCTGGCTCCGCCCCGAGCTCACCCAGCGGCGGGCCTGCCTTTTGCCTCTGGCCTCTCCCCTCTGGGGCTCCAGCCCCTCACTGCCCTGCGCCTCCGGCTCCATGCCCGCCCCTGTGCCCTGAGCCTCCCCCTTCAGATTCCTCTGCCTCCACCACCTGGTTGAGCTTCAGGTCCCCTATAGACCTTCATTCGCCTCAGGGCTTCATCTCCTTGTGCCTTAGGCCCCCACCTTTTGGGGGGCCCACCTCTTTCTGCCTCGGCCCCCATCTTCTTGGGGGGCCATCTATGCACCTCAGCCCCCCATTCTTTGGGGGCCTCACGTCTCAGGGCTTCCGTGTCTCAGGGTTCCCCTCTGCTCACTGCCTCCCTGCTCTGCTGCTGCTTGGTCCTCCTTTCCCGGCTCCCGGCAGCCCCAGCCCCTCTCCCTCAGCCTCCCCCCTCCCCAGAGCCCGGTGTGTCCCCCCCCCTCCCCCGGCCCATCACCAAGACAGGTGGCTCAGGTCTCACTTCCTGCCCTGCTCGCTCTCCTCACTGCCTCCCTCTCTGCCTCCTGGTACCTCCTGGTAGCCGCCCATCCTCTCCCTGTGGGGACAGAGCTGCCTGTGGGTGACGCGTGTTGGGGGTGGGGCCAGACCCAAAGGCGGTCCCTCAGGAGGCGCCGTCCTGTCTGCTGGGCCACCGGCAGATGGGGGCACAGAGGAACTGAGAGACCGCCTTGCCAAGAGGACTCAGGCCTGGCCACATCTGGCCGTGCTCCAGCCAGCACCTGGTGAGGGGTGAGAGCTCCGAGTTTTGCAGCACGAAACCCTTCAGGTGGATGAGGCCAGCCCGAGAAGGGCTGGATGTGGAGCGCCAGGCCAGTACTCACGGGTGAGGGTTCTGGTTCAGGTCCCAGCCGACCCCAAGTCCGCCCCGTTCTGGTTCCTTTCTTCTTTGTCACCAACCCACGAGATCGGAGTTTCCCTGCCGACCTTTCTTGTGTCTTTTTCACCTGTGGAGAGTGACTTTCGTTTGGAATGACACATTTTGGCACCAAATGCTGAGGAAGACCCCTGCTGTAAGTTTTAACATTGGGCAATTAGTGTTTGTGCCACAGTTTTGGGGGTTTAAGTATAAGAAATGGCAGTCACTCGGACCGGGGAAGGACTGGACACACGAGGTCACTGAGCAAAGGCAGTACTGTGACTCCACGTGGCAGGAGAGGGAGGCTGGGGGGGACAGTTGCTCCTCAGCAGCTCAGTCTGGTTACCAAAGCCACGAGCCAGGTGAGGTGACAGCAGGGACTTGGGGCCAGGCGGAAAAGGTCCCCCAGGAGCCAGATGCGCTGCGGTGCCCTTGGCCTGGCCGCACTTGCTGATAAGTCTGCTTGCACCCTCCTGGTGCCGGCCTGTTGCCAAGGGGGAGCCCTGGCAGCCTCCTGTGTGCGTCCCCTGCGTGGTGCCGAATAACATCTCAAATGTGACCCTGCACATTTGGTGTTAACAATAAAACACAAGATTTTCCAACACATTCCTAATACCTATGATTGCCCAGTTGTACGTTGCAAACTTTAGTCCTGTGAACTTCTCAGATGTCCCTCTGGACTCCGCCGCCCATCCCTGTGGGGACCACGGAAGACCCCCGCCTGCCCGCCTGTACCGCAAACACCTCTCGCCACATCCCCTAACCTCGAAGAAAGACTCCTTCCACCTCAGCCCTCTCCCGTGACCGTGATCGTGACCGGCTCCCCTTCAGGGCCAAACTGCTTTAGCCCACTACTCCCGCTCCCCACTTCCACCAGCCCTGCGCCCCCCACTGGTGCGCCCCTGGGGGGTCCGGGTCCCTGAGCCCCCACACACTTCCCAGCCTCCCCTGCACTGGGTGCCAGATGTCTGGACCTCTCAGGGCCCCCAGGTCTGTGTTCGCAGGGGTGGGCTTCCTGGGGCCTCGCCTGCTGCTTTCTGGGCTGCCGTGCCACTTCCCAGGGCCTCATCCACCCCCCTGTCCGTCAGCCGGGGACTCTAGGACCCCGACACGCTGCCCCCTCCATGGCTGGCTTACCTCCTCGCCGCCCCTCTTGGCCTCCTCCCAAATCCTGTTCTGCTCTCTCGTGGCCCCCCCGGCCTGGCCAGCTCTCCTGTGCCTCCCCCTGCGGCCCCCAGCTTTTCCAGGAGCCCACAGCTCCTGCTGCGGGCAGCCCCGCCCCCAGCACAGCAAAGGCCGCACCCTTTAGACTGGGAGCTGCCACCAGGCAGCCGGAAAACAGCCTCCCCTGTGTTCCAACCCCTGCCCAGGGTCAGGTGTGGTGCCAGGCACCCTGGAGCCATGAGACAGGTGCCCACCAGGCCCCTTGGATCTCTTCAGCTCCCACACCCTGGACCCACCCCCACCCCCCGCCCCACCCCGCCCCCCCCGCCCCCCCGCCAGGACAAACCAGCTGCCAGTCACTGTTGGTGACAGAGGTGGCTGGGGTCGGCAACAACAGCCAGTCAGGAGCTGTACCCCGTGGCACCACCCCAACATCTCTTCCACTTTTACTCTGGCTCACGGTCACAAATGCAGTCGTGGGATGGCTTGCATCCAGGCAGCAGGTGCACGAGCCCCTGCCCTTCCAGGAACCCCTGGGGACAGCGCGGTCCCTCTGATGGGCACCACGCAGTCCCCAGAGCATTTGTGGACAGAGGACGGGAAGCTGGACCCAAGGAGCCCCCCCCCCCCGCCCCCGGGCCAGCCTTTGGTGACATGAGCCTAGAGGGAAAGCACTGGGCGCTGGGCAGAGGGGGGCCACGCAGCTTCTCATAGACTCTGTACTAGACATCTGGGTTCTCGGAAGGGGGTGGACTCCGTGGCCTCGGAGGGAGTCCCTCACTGAGGACAAAAGATGAACAGGGAGACTGTGGCCAAACACGACTTTATTGGAGGAAGTGGCTGGGGGTGGGTGGGGACCTCTCCCACTCCCCCAGAGACGGCTGGACAAGCTCCCTGGAACTCAAGGGTGTGGGCAGGCAAGAGGGGGAGCGGGTAGGAGGGGGTGGGTAGCACGGGGCACTCGGGGGCAGATCCAGGGCTGGGCGAGGGACGCGGGCTGAGCACAGGAGCTAGGTCGCGGGCTGGGAGGGCGGCTTACGCGCGGGGCCCGGGAGCAGGAGCAGGCGGCCCAGCGCCGAACGGCAGACGGTACCGTAGGCTTGAGAACAGCCCCCGAGCGCGGCCCTCGCGGCCCCCTGCGCCCCCTGCCAGGCCGAGGCGCCGAACATCCTCCGGCCCGGCCGGGGCTCGGGCCGCGCATCCCCCGGAAGCCCGCG